TGAATTCAGCCGTCATCATTAATGCACCTGCCTCTGTAACTCGTTTAAAAAGAGGCCGCTCTGTCAGGTAGGAAATATTGATTACAGCAGAAGTAGGTTTGTGTGTCTGGTATCGGGGATAAGCTCTGGATCAGGTGCAGGAGCAGAAGAGATTAACCACCCATTAAATGTCACATCAGCGCCTCCACTGTGAGACAATAACCCACATGTGAAAAGAAACAGGATGTCTTGCTTTCTTGGCAAAAATGTGCTGCTTTTTTATTAACAGAAAGCATTTAAATGTTTCATACCGATCTGGATTTATTGTATTTGTTACCTTATTGCTGCAATGTGTGGTTCTTTTCTCTTCTTCAGATCATCTGACTTAAAGAGAATAAACAAAATAATTAATAACTGACCACATACAGGGAGAAATAAACCGGGGTTTGATGGTCACCTGTTTAAATTTGTACAGATCGTTTGATTTCTCGTTGAAGTTGAGCTCCAGCAGCTCTCTCTGAAGGTTTTCTGCAAAGGTTTGGTTGCTCAGGAAGTTCTTGATTATGCAGTGAGGGAAAGGGTGGCAGTCCAACTCCAGATCTCCTACAGCAACAATTACACAAGAAGAAATCAAAATGTTTTTATAATATATTGACCTCCATTTTTAAAGGCCAGCTGTACAAAGACAGCTAACCTGATATAATGACTGCAAACGTCATTAAGGAATGAGAGATTAATTAAAAATAACTTTTTTGACTGTTTTCTTAAGAGAAAAAGAAGGAACGTAGCATCATGGGTGTCCAATGTGTGGGTTGGGGGCCATTTGCGGTCCTGTGGAGTATTTTGCATGGCCTAACTGTCCTCAAATCTAGAACTGAGCAAATCTGACTGACCTGCAGGCAGTTTGTTGATGCAGATGTACATGTTTCCTCTTCTAGAGGAACATCTTTTTAAAGATAGCACTTTCTTGAAAAACAAAAAGTTAAGTGCAAAAAATAGATTTTCCATTTATCAATTAAGTTTTTGCATAGATCTTAATTTTGGAGTAACTGGAACCTCAAAAGCAAATATTTTCTATAAAATTACTTAAACTATTTTGTTGATTTCAATAAAATCATATTTTTTTAGTCTATTATTGAGCAGACAAAATAAATAAAGAAAGAGTTTGTTATAAAAATCTATAACATTTTTGTGCTTCAAGGTATAGATTTTGGCACTCCTGGCAGAAAGTTTGAATAAAGCTGATCTAATCTGAGTGCACAATTATAAGGAAAGTCTTATTTATTATGAGGATTATGTTAATCAAAACAGAAATTTCGATTTCTGTTAATCAAAATTGCAAATAAATCTAAAATGTGAATGTTTAAGAAAGCATAAGTGAGTTTTTTTTTTTTTTGGGAGAATATGCAAATAAATGGAAAATACACATTTTCTCATAATTTTTTTTTTTTCTGTTTAAGTGAGAATTAAACTCAAAACCTTCTAATAAACATTTCTAACATAAAAAATAAATAAATATCATAGCCACCCAAACTGACTGCGAGTTGGATCAGGTCGAGGTGAAGAAGGTTTTCATCTTCACTGGTCGGGTTGCCAGAACTAACTGACAGTTTCCAGTCAGATCTGGCAACCCAAGTCCAAAAAACAGCACAAATCTCAACCTCTAATGAAACTTATGTTAACAGAACCAGATATAGTCATGTAAGCTTATTGACTGCATTTACCGACTTGTGACAATTCACAACATATTTTATTGTCCTTTATTGTATTCTGACTAGAACCAAATTTTGTGCCGCTATGGGTCTGTCACAAAAAGCAATAAATCAATTAATTGCATGATCATTTCCATTTGCTCAATAATTTCCATTTGTCTCTCTTTCTACCAGAAACTGGATGACAAAAGCTTTCAGTCTGGTATTTTGGTCTCAACTAGAACTTTTTTGAAGGGCAATTTAGTTTACAGAGACTGCAGAATTGATTTTAATTATGTTTTGATTGTTTTTTTGTTTACTTATTGTGTATATTTAAAATGTTTTCCAGTTCCAGTAAAATATTTCTTGCATTAATGTTCCATTATTAATATATTAGCTGAAAATGGTCTCAAAAATAATATTACCATTTATTGAAATTATTTCTAGGACAATTTATCGTTCAGCAAAATTTGTTATCGTGACAGCTCTACCTGTAAACCTGAATGAACTGAAGAAATGGTTTAAAGAGAGGACTAATTAGTCAGAGCAGTTAAATCAGGGGTGTCCAAAGTGTGGTCCGGGGGCCATGTGCGGGCCTCAGAACAATTCTGGGCGGCCCTTGATCACAGTTCTAGAATAGCCCAAAACTGGTTTGCCGGTTCATGTAGACTCAGATTTAAAATCAACATTGGTGAAATTTTCATTGATGCCTGGCTGTTTAAGAAAGATACAGACAATTAAAATATTAATATGGAAAATGTAATGTGCAGCACAAAGTATTCATCCAGGGTTTTGCTTTTAATTTACTTTATTAGAAACAAGAGTCGAAAACATCCAGTGGTTTTTATTAAAATGCAGGAACGAGTTTCATAAACTGTCCTTGTGGCTAAAAAGGTACAAAAAAATCTAGAAAAAGATGAAAAATTTAGCATATGCCTTTTTTTTTAAATCTGGCAAGACCCTCTTTTGTACAAATAGCTTTGCTTATTTCGCTAAAATATTGCGTTCTTAGCTTGTTTTATTTTTAGCAAGTAAAAATAAAAATAGTTTTAATTATATAAAATACTAAACATTTTGTGGCCCTCGGAGTAGTTGTAACCTGACATTTTGGCCCCCGGAGCCAAAAAGTTTGGACACCTCTGAGTTAAAGTTACTGTAGCGAAACGTGGATCTTATACATTAAATATTATATATTATATATGTGCCCAAAAACACAAACCAAAGGTTTGTGTTTTTGGATTGTAACAAAACGGACAGGTAGAAAAGATTGCCACAAAAAAGAGCTCGCCATTTCAATCATTTAATCAGGCAAAAATGTCAAGTTTCGCCATAGCAACGTGAACAAATAGCACAAAATTGTAGTTTTAGAGTGGAACCATTGCGGTCTCCATTTGCCCACCCATCAACACTTCTAGCTGGGTCTGGATTGACCTAATAATAGTACCACAAATATGATCAGTCCACGGGAAACGCGTTGTGCTCCACTAGCCTTTGCTGTAGTGGGTCCTGTTGCTCCACGCCTCCTTCACCGCTTGCTTCACCTCCTCTTCCTCCACGGATCCACAGAGATCCACGGTCTCCACGCTGCTCCTCTTCTTCTTCTTCTTGTCAGAGTCTCCGCTCTCATTCTGCGCTCGCTTGCAGCTCATAGCTGGGGAATCTCTCCAACACAAACTTTACAGACACCGGATAACGTGGAAGCGGCGTCGCGGGTAAATGACGTCAGAGGGCAGGACTCGGTCGGATGCCCGGTGTGATTAATGTCAGGCTGTATTATTTTAATTTTTCTTAGTTGTAACAGACCCGTTGTGCTTCTATGGACTAAAAAATACATAATATATTATTAATACATATTTATTTATACATTTATTTTATTTACTTTAAATAGCAAGATCTTTTAGTAACATCAGCATTTGTGATTTTTTTAAAATATATTTTTATACCACTATTCCTCTGTTAATTTATGTTTAATGTAATCTGACATCATTGTGTTAAATTTCTTTCTTTGCAATGTTATTTGTTCAAAATAAAGTACATTTTTAAAAAATCCTGCAATAAGATTCAATAAGACTTTTAAATGTGCTTTAGAAAAGAGGATTTGAGCTTCTAAAAATAATTCTGGCTTAATATCAAAATTCTGATATGTCAGCATTTTAACAAAAAGTAAAACATTTTCCAAAGTTTGACCAAAACAAAAAGCCAGCATTGTGAAAGTAGTTGTTTTTTCCTTTCCATTGATTGAGAAACACTAAAATAATTTTAAACAGGCCACATATAATATAAATGATGTATTGATCAAATTAAAATATTTCAGAATATTATCCAAACAAGCCTATCAATCCTTTTAGGATTCACTGTACATCAAAACATGTTGAATTTATAGTTTCAAAAGTAATAAATATTTACTTTTTAATTCAGTTAGTGGCTTCAGTGAATCATCTTAAGTGTTAATGTGAGACAGAACAGTGATTGCTCTACTTTGAACAAATATTGTGTAAGAGATAAAGATAAATGAATGATAGGACGGTACTTGCACAAAAAAGCACAAAAATGTCTAAGTTACTAAAAATGAACTCTTTCTGCCTTAAACAGCAGGTATGTCCATTTGAATCACCTGCATTTATGAATAATTACATTTCTCATTATTCCAGCCTTGCATTTACATGTAATCACTTGGTTAGTACACAGCAGAGTCTGACAGTACAATGCATCACTGCATAGAACAGTCAAAATACCTTAAAAACTGTGATAATTTGATCATTATTTCTGAGGTAAAGATTTTCAGAAGCATTATAACACCGTTTTAATTTTTAAACAAGTGATAAAATCTTATTGGTGCATAACTTCAATCTGCCTGTAAGACAAATCTCCAAAATGTGCAGTTGGCCCCTGGAGCCCAGACTTTTACTAAATTAATATTGCTTAGTGGTAAATAAACAACAGTCATGAATACAACACATTACTGTAAGTCTATTTAAAATCATTTTTCATGTTGCCCATTGAGCATAAAATAGTTTGATTTAAATAAATGCTGTTGATGGTGTTTTTATTCATTCTGAGTTAATTTCATAATTTTTCTGTCCAGTATAAACTGCTAAAGAAGAAGAGGGACCTTTAATAAACACCTGCTTCTAAGATGGCGTTAACATGGATTTATTTTATTACGCTGCAAAGCCCTTCCTCTCTGTTTAAAAGCATAAAATCCCTTGACATATTTTTAAAAAGTGCTTATCAACATTCAGTAGCTCTAACTTTATAAAAACATACTCAAAACACAGCTTTATTTTAAAAAGACAGCATTGTTACAGGTTAAAACAACAGAAAACACAATGTTGGAATTTTTTTTTAATCAAACATTGTCAACCTTTAGGCAAACATAAAACCAGATTCTGGAATAGAGACCTGCATACTACAAAAGGCTGCAGCTTCACAAGTTTAAAAAATAAAACAAAAAACAACTCGGACCGTATCATTTTCTCCAACAACAACCCCGTAGACTTTCTATTTACCAGACATAACAGGCGTTTGTTTCGTAAAAGATAAACGAGAGATGACGTCCTTTCAGCACAATGCTTCTGGCTGCACTCACAGAGACAGCCACACTGTTGGTCAGGCTAGTTGTAGATAAAGTTGAACCTGAGAAAAACAAACAGATACAACCTGAAACCCTTTAGCTGTGATTATTGGCTTAGACGGAGAGCCATGACTTTGTAGTGATTTGAATAATTTCATGATTTTTATAGCTACAAACTGTGTGATTTATGTTGTAAGCAGGCTATCCATCTTTTTTTTATTTTCCATATTTATAGAACGGGCTGATTCAGCCAGCTTTAATCTACAAAATAAAGTTTTCTGTCCTTTGTAAAGCCAGACGACTCTACAACTTGAAAATGTAAGAATTTTAGCTTCATCTTATAGCCTTTCAAACAAAAATACTTTTGGTTTTCAACTTCAGAGAAATTGTTTTGTACCATCAGAGGTAGAAAAACCAAAACCCTCTTTACTTTTGCCCCCTGCTCATCTTCATCGTCAGTAAAAATTAACCAAGAAAGAAAATTAGAATGTTTCTGGTAGCCAAATAGCCAGAATAAAAGTTTGTGCGTCCTTCATAACAGAGCTGCACGAAGTTAATAAAATATGCTTTACCTGCTCAGTAGCTGCGGTAGACTGGAAATGATTGGTCCATATCCAGGAGCGTTGTCGTACAGTTCAAACAACGGAGCAGCCACCAGCTTATAATTTTTGGGAACGGCAAATAATGCTGTGGAAATATTATAGATTTTAAATGCAGAGACGATCATTTGTCCTCATTTCATAATTGCAGACTTTAATTTTTCAGCACATTTGAGGTAATAAAAAGAAATGCTGACCTTTCTCCTGCAGCTGAACCAAGAAGAGCTTTTTATGCTCCTTAGGTTTAGTGATGTGAGCTGGAATGTACGGGTACTGGAAGATGAAAAGCACCGCATTAGTTCTCTCAAGAAAACATGGATTTAAAGGGGACCTCTTGGGCAAGATTCACATTTTGGACTTTTTGTGCTTCTAAAAAAAAACAGCCCATGTCCTTAAGAGTAAACCACCCAGACAATAAATTAATATTATTTGATGTCTGGAAAATGAGCCGATTTAAAAATCTTCACAAATCAGAAGGCGCTGCCCTGTTACCTAGCAACCCCAGCAAAGCCCAGCCCATTACCTAGTAACACAAGCTAAGCTCAAATACGTTTGGTCAGCTGGTTTAACTGCTGTATGTTCTGCACAGTGGCTGATGGAAAAGACAAGTGTTTTGTTGTTGACTTACCAACCAAAAAACAAGTTGCTGCTTTGATGTTGATTGTACAGGAGGTTCTACTTCTGCTTTTCAAAGATGTATGGTTGTATAGTTGCACATCTGTTTGCAGTCATTTTCATGTGTAAATATTGAATTAGGAGGCGTGGTGAGCATTAGTTTATTTGGATTTTAAAGTGAGAAGAAGCCCCAAACTAGACTAAAACCAGACTAAAATCTCTTTATCTAAGAATGATTTTGTGCTAAAACGTAATTAACATGTTCTGTTTAGCCCATAGACCCATTCTAGCCTTCAGGGAAATACAATAGGTCATCTTTAAATGTTCAATTTATCAACATGAAACCTAAACAAACTCCAACATGACTGAGGGAGGATCTGTGGCAGGAAACAGGGAACCAACAAATGCACAAATCTGTGCATTACATAAATATGTAAACACATTCCTTGGCATACCAACCTGCGGAGGCTCAAAGTTGGGGCGCCACCAGTTACCGATGCAATCATCTATCACCCAGTCCTGCTTCACCCCATCTTGCCGCCCGAGGATCTAATAACCAGTCAAACGGTTAATTCAGGTCAGTTTCACACCAATCACAGAGGCGGAATCCCACAGCGGCTACCTCAGTCATCAGGCGTTTCAGACCCTCCACCTCGTCTTCTCCAGGATTCAGCTCTCCACCAGGCCTGCAGGACAGACACAACCTGTAATCGAGCAACTCTGCAGCCTACAGCTGCTTCCTGCAGCAGCACCAGACAGACACTCACAGCTTGAAAAACGTTGTGCCCAGCTGCAGCAGGAGAACGTGAGGCAGCCTGTGCTCGTGAACGATGAGGACTCCCTCTACTGTCCGGCGCATGCCCATCTTATCGAACTCTTCACGCATTCTCTGGAATCTGGCGGCCACAGAGCTGTCTTTCTCGTAAAGAGGCTCCTTGGTGCCAAACGTGTAGTTCGTGAGAGGATATCTGCAACCAGAAAGACAAAACATGCTTCATTCGGCCACCGACTTTGTTTGTAGCTGCTCAAAGCAAATCAGAAAAAAAACAAAGAAAGTTTATAAATTTACATTTTGGTAAAAAATAATACATTTACATCAGCTTTTTGAGTGTATGGAGAGTTCACTCTATTTTTAATCCACTGCACAACTTTACTGAATGACTTAAACACAAAATCAACAGATTTTATGTGACCGCCGCTCTTTTCTAAGTAAAATGTTCATCGCAGAAAGCCCATTACTTTGAATCAGAAATCTAGAATACAGATGTTTGAGCATTGTTTTCAAATATTTCCATAAAATTTTCCAAATTCAAACAGAATGCGTTTTTACTCCATGTAAAGTTTTTTTGATGAAATTATAATTTTCTGCTTTGAGGTGATTATCTTTTAGCTAAAAAAAATAACTACTTAATTATAATCTATTTTAAACTCCAAAAATGTGGAACATTAATAGAAAACATTTGCTGAAGATTTAATCAGAACTCATAAAGCTAATTAGAAATTATGTGAATGTTATCTTTTGGGTGAATATTTTTTATATGTTTTAATGTAAATTGACATAAATTAAAAGAAATGTTTAGCTTTTAAACTCCTGCAGTCTACTTGTACTCCACGCAACGCTTTCATAGAAAAATCCTAATTTTCTGCATTGAGATGCTGAACTTTTAGCTAAAAAATGGACTATTCAATTTATATTTATATTATTTATATTTATATATTATATTTACATTTATATTATATAACAGTATGTAGTGAATTAACCAAAAACACATTTACTGAAGGTTTAATCGCAGTAACATAAAACAAATGATAAATTACTACAATATTAACACTGATTTAATACACAAATTTGCTGGGGATCAGAAATGTGTAAAGTTTTAAAATAGGATTCAAACAGCATGTTTTAATAGTAGAAATTATTATTTTTTCCAATGAGATGATTAATTAATAGCTGAAAAATGACTATTCAATTAAATTCCAATCTATTTCAAACTTATATAAACAAAACGTCATTAAATACATTTAATCAATACGGATAAAAAAATTAAACACCGATTACTTAGCACATAAATCTGCCGTGGATCAGAAAGTTTGTGTAAAGTTTTGTGTAAAGTTTTGTCATTTAAACTTGTTATTGACAAACTTGATACTTGACAAATGAGTCAAGTATAATTATTTAGTGTAATTTAGATCAAAAACAGCATAACCTTCCACTTCACTGATAAATACTATTTCCTTGTGTTTGCCAAAGCTAACTAAAGCTCAGATGCGACCATAAATACCGCCTTCACAAATCAAATATTTATGATTTTTTTTTAAATTATTATTATTTTTTATGATTTTGGTGACTATGTTGCACAGATCCGCATCAAAATAAAACATTTTTCACAGACAAAACTGCCTCAGTCGTTCCAGACACTTTTCCACATTAGTACCCAGACTGAGGGCTGCAGGCGGTGCTGGACTCACAGGTTGATGGTCCGCTCCAGGGTGAGCGGTTTAGCGGGCCCGCTGATGTATTTGCTCCCGAACTGCTCTCCGCCGCGGCGCGGCCACCCGGTGGACGAGCGACTGGGCTGCACGACCGACATCCTTTCCTACTAGTATGAAAACTCCTGCAGATAAAAGGCAGGAAACCTGATTAATCTACTGACGGACAAAAGAGAAAAAACACACCGAGCGCTCCACTGCACAGACCCCGTCTCCTTTGTTCTTCCTCTTCCGGGTGAAAACAGCGCGGTTTGCTTGATGTCCTCGACAGCGACCCCTGCTGGTCGCAGTGTGTTTAAAAATAGAGAGTCACAAAAAGTAAACAGTTTGGAGTTCATTTATCAATATAAACAGAGATATGAGGAGAGCAACCGAAAATTATACTCAAGTAAGATTAGCACCACTTGTATTTACTCAAGTAAAAGTAAAAAGTAAATTACGTCATCAGACGGACTAAAATACATAGAAATGGTTGTATTTTAAAGATAATTCTATAAATAAAATAATTTAAAAATAACAAAATCAGTCAAAAACAAAAACTTTTCCCAAGTAAATATTTTTCATTTAAAAATCTTATTAACCTACACACAAGTGTATGTGTCTGGTAATTTTTTGTTTTAAGCTTGTTCTTCATTCATTGAAGTTATTCACAGTGAGTAGAGCATACAGAAATTTTGCTCAAGGAAAAGTAGCAATATTTCAAAATAAAATTACTCAAGTAAAAGTAAAAATACTCCTAAAATTAATTTTTTTCTACAGTTACTCAAGTAATTGTAACTAAGTAAATGTAATGAGTTACGACTCAACTCTGAGCAAACGTGAATAAAAGTAAAATTAAAGTAAGTTTTAAAAATCAATGTTATAAAAAACCTATATTGTGTAGGACATTCCAGTATGTTTATTAAATTGTTGAAAGCTATTTTTTAATTTAAAAAAATAGTGCATAATTATGATTGAACCAAACGACAAAGAAAGTCTGTGAGTAACCTTCAGCTTGTTAGTAACAGAGTTAGTAATGAGATATAATCACTGATTATTTGGAACTTTTGCTTTCTGACAAATCTGGAAAACTAAACAAAACTCTTAATTCACCTAGGAATAACGCAAACGTAACAGAAAATGACTGGTACACAGTGAAAACACAAAGTCTTACCAAATATGTTTGGTTTAGTTTCTAGTGCAAATATCTTAATACTCTTGAAATAAGACAAATTAAATTACAAATAACTTCACAGCAACATATATGAGTTTGCTTTAAGTCAATAATTAATTAATGTTGATGAAAAATTACTATTGCACTGGCTGATTAGTTCACTTGTCATGTGGGGAAAATGTCCTGTTGTAAGTAAAAAAAATCTGCCTGTGGTACTATTACTTTTCCATCAATATTAAGGAACTACACCAAAAATACTAGGTGAGATTTTGTGTTTTAGCAGTGTAGCTAATTTTTTTTTTTTTATCTCAAAATCTACTCTTGAGAATGTTTACTCCCTGCTGAAATTAACAATCCAACAAGATAAATTAAATAATTAAAATGAAATGAACTGATTTATTGAGTGGTTCTGGGTTTCTGGTCTGGCCTGGGAGGATTTTTTTGTTGGAGTTTATATGCTTTCCCTTTGCATGCAAGGATTCTCTCCTGGTACTCCAACTTCCTCCCTCACCCAAAAACATGACCGCTGTAGCTAACTGGTTCATCTAAATTGCAATTAAGTGTGTTTGTGCGTGTGTGTGCGTGCATGTGTGCGTGCGTGTGTGTTTGTTGTCTCTGTCTTGCCGTGTGATGGACTGGTGACTTGTTCAAGGCGCAATACTGTATGGATGATATTTCAGGGAAATATGACTAACTTCAGGTATGAAAACAACTTCAAAAAAGCTTAAGGAATGACTCAGTGAACTGAATAATCCATTTAATAGTCATAGCTATGTCTCTTTTCCATCTTTTGTAAACATCATGTATTTTACCACAATAGTTTTCTTATAGTACATAATCATACGTGCAATGCAAAATCTCAACAGAAGTTAAAAAAAGGACAAAGACACTGCTGGATTTGTTGATTACATCACACCAAGAGGATCTCAGTTCTTTGGTCCAGTGGCCCACTCTTAGTGGTGTGCTGCAGTAATGTGGTGGTCCCTGTCGGAAGTGCCATTGATAATCTCTCCCCCAGCCTTCCTTACCCCTCGTAGCCTTTACTGTGGACTCTCCTGTCTGTCACAGTTGTTGGTCCCGTGTTCAGCGGCTTCGTTATTTTTCACTTATCACCTGCTGACATTGTTTCCTCTTGCTCTTGAGCCTCATTGACTGAGTCGTCTCTGCTCCTCTCAGCCTCTGCACCCGGGTCAGGTTCAGAGAGGGCGTTCTCTTCTGCTCTCACACTTTCTTCCTGCACTTCTTTTCTTGTTACATCACCGTTGTCAACCAGTGGTTTGTCACTGTCACTTTCGCTCTTCTTCTCACCGTGAGCATCTTCCTTCTTCTCGTCAGAATCACCTGATTTGGTCTGTTTGACCTCCTCAGAAGGCTTATCCACTGCTAAAGGACAAAAACATTCAATTAGACAAACAACTACCTACGGTATATACATTAAGTGAAACCAAGTGAATGGTTCTGACAAAAGTATTTATGCCCCTTGAAGTTGTCCACATTTTTGCATATTGCTGGTCTCTGGTCTTCATAATGCTTTTTTCACCAATGACCTATAAACCTCTGAGGCCTTCATAGAACTACATCTGAACTTGGAGAGCACCCACTCAAAGGTGGGTGCTCTCCATTTACTAATAAGATGACCGTATGCCTGGAAAGAAATTGTTTTTTTAAAAAACTTATAAATTACATATTATGCTTACAAAACATGTTCATCACATTTCTTGCACGAAAATCATTCTCAGATTTTTGTCTGGTCAGTTCTGCCTATTCTAAGCTTCTTTCAGATGGAGCTATTTTAGGGCCTCCTGTCATTTTAAATCCTAATAAGCTGCTGCTGGCCACGCCCCCAAACTCAATCTTTACATTCGCACGTAAAAATGGCTGCAAACAGATGCACATTTATACAAGATACATCTTTGAAAAGCATAAGTAGAGCTTCCTGAACATCCAACAAGAATGAAGCGAGTGGTTTTTGAATGGTAAGTCAACAACAAAACATTTGTATTTTCCAGCAGCCATTTTAACAGCGCATGCTGCGGTAAAACCAGCTGACCAAACGTGCTTTAACCCAGCTTGGATGCTAGGTAATTGATTGCGACTTAACAATCAGGTGGCGTTTGAACTAAACATTTACTTATTGCCAAAAATGTCGTGTTTTTTTTTTTTTAGAGTAAGACCCAAATAGAAACAAAAACGCGCAAAATGTGAATTTTGCATTATAGATACTTTTAAGATTCATTTTGTTTTGAATTGGCACTATTTGAATCTGGTGAATTGAAATGAACTGACGTGATTTTGAAAGTTAATTAAGAGAATTGGATTGTGTTTATTCAAAGGAGGTTGAATACAAATACACATTAAACTTTTAGGATTTCTATTGAAAAAGAAGAAGTAAAAACCATGTGATCCTTTCCTTCAACATTTAAATTATCCACTGCTTTTCACATAATCTCTCAGTAAAATAAACTGAAGTTATTAAAGGTAATCGGAAAACAGTCGAGTGGGAATACATCTGCAAGGCTCTGAATTACATATTTACTAAAATAAAATCTTACCGATGTCTGTTGTTGTGGGTTTTCCTGGTCCTTCTCCTTCCCCCCTTTCCTCATGCAGCGTCTGTAAATCTTTATCCTGGCGCGGCTCGCCATCAGGGGGTGCTGGACTGCTGAAGCGGCAAGGAGTGGCACTTAACTCTCTGTCAGGGGGAATCGTGAAGACTGGATCTGACCCAGTTATGTGTGGGGAGCTAATTGCAGCAGCGCCCGCCGAGCTGCTGGTGGAAGTGGTGTCTGCGCGGTTTAAACTGGTAGCAGTGGAGGCGGTGTCTGTAGGGTTCGTGTCACTGGAAGAAGTGGAGGGAGCAGAAATGGGAGCGTCTGACTGGACGGTGGCAGGAGAGGAGGCAGAGTCCATGTGGTCGCTGGATGGTGGGCTGAGGGTTTTATCAGCTGTGGGAGGGACGGGAGCAGGGGTCACAGGGGAGGCTGAAGTAACGGGGACACCGTGTGTATCTGCGGCTGTGACTGCACCAGAATTGGGAGGATGACATGTAGCTACAGAGGTACTGGATGGAGTATGTAGCCCTGAATCTGACACGCTGGTGGAGGAAGAAGAAGCTGCGGTGCTGACAGAAACATCACCTCCAGCAGCTGAGAGAGCACCATTTGGCTCCAGGGAAGTTGCCTCAGTTGGTAGATTTGTTGCTGTTTTAGAAACTGGGCTCTGCTGGCAGGGAGCTGAACCAGTTTCCAGGGTGGGGATGGAAGAAGTAGTTTCTGTTTTTGAGGTGGAAGTGACTGAAGGACTTGGGATTGGGGGCTCTGAGGTGGTGGGTGTAGCTGAGGTTGTGCCAGGGGGCTCAGATGGGGTAGAGATGCTAGTAACTGTGGAGGTTGGAGCTTCAGTGACAGGAGAACTAGATATAGGGACTGAGGCTTTCCTGTCACTTTCTGTAATGCTGGTAGGTGTTGTAGTTGCTGCAGCAGAGTCCACTGAGTCAGTGCACATCTCTGTGTCAGTACTTGAGAAGGAAACTGTGACACTGGCTGAGTCAGGGACTGAATTAGAGATTGTCGGTACAGAAGAAGAGGTGGTAGCAGGAGCAGACGGAGCAGCGGCCAGACTGGGCTTAGTGGGCGTGTTTGTCTCTGCTTCCTGAATCTGTGCTAGCTCGTTCTCTGGCGTATTGTGGCCTGATGTTGCGGGAGGCGGAGCTGGTTTGATTACTGGCTTTGGAAGCAGAGCAGGCTTCCCAGCTGCCTCGTGTGCTGACAGACTCGCCCGAATTTGATGCCGGGTGTCTGGAGAGAAAAAGGAAGGAGAAAGTCACCTAGCTGATCGTAGCAGGTTGAGAAAGAGGCTGAAAATGACTAATTGTGGTTTACCTGAAGATGCAGACATAGTCCGAGGTTTTGAGAAAGTAGAGGGTGGCTCAGGTTTATTATCAATGATGGTACCTGAAGCGCAAAGACTTTTATGTCATTTTAAAGGACAAATAAAGCACCACATTTTAGACTGAAGCAGGTAGATTTTGATTCCATAACTCTTTAAGCCTTATACTAGAAAAGATAGTCATGATGACA